GCATTGAACTTGAATCCACTAAAGTGAGGCTTCTACAAGGATCAGGTCAGTGGTGGCTATAAAAGCAGGGCACCCCCGTGGGTCTCAAGTATGTGTGATATACTGTGAGTAGTAAGTTCTTTCTTGTGAGTTTAAGCACCATTTGCTATCTTTAAGAGATATTGATTATTGATTTGATCGTTAGAGTGTCCCCGGGTGGATGAACCGCCGCCGGATTCTTATCTTTCTGTGACAGATTGTTCGGGCTGAATCTATTCTATCGGTGCTCTCCAGTTGAGTTTTCCGTTTGGTTGTGTGGTCGGAAATCAACACCTACAAGTACATACATTTTTTGAAGCGTGTATTATAAATTTTTTCTTAAACAATACTTATGAGGCATCTGTTATCATTTGTCAAAATTTTAATAGTTAGTGAATAGTTGTTATTCTAATTTTTATATGTTTAAAATGAGGGGAGATGACTCTCCCTTAGATTATAGTGAATGCAACAATTGTGAATGTAACTATACTTTTGAATGAATTACAAAAATTTTATGTTCTTCGTATGTTTTCTTGTTTTTCTTCTTCTTCTTCTTCTTCTTTTTTTCTTCCTTTCTGTCGTCGTCGTCGTCGTCACGTGTTCCTTCATTTTTATGTTTTTGTATTTTACAAAAATTATAATTTTAAAATGTAATAATTGTACAGTAAAAAAAAAAAGTTGACTTCTCTAAAATAGACTATTATTTTGAAACAGAGAGAGTATTATTTTAGTTCTTGATTTTTAAAAAGAGACTAATATTTTGAGATAATAAAAAATGAAATAAGAGACTAATATTTTGAGACGGAGAGAGTATTTTTTTGTATTTTAAACTTTAAAATATCATAATTTTTATATTACACATCTATTTTTTTATAAATAAAATCTATATTTTTAGAACTTACTCGTCAAGTTTTATCAAATAAGACTAATACTATTAAATATAAAAAAAAAAAAAAAAAAAAAAAATTAGTAAAGCAACTATATGAAACATTGTTGTGCAAAACTAAGAAATTTATTACTTTTAAAATTGGAAAAAATTGGAAACTGAAAAATTCTCAATTTCATACAACTACAAGAATCATTATGTTTGTTTTCAGTTTTTTGAAAACACTTTTCAAAAAATTCTATTTTCGTATTTTTTAAATATTTTAAGCAATTTTTTTAATTTTTAGACACACCTAACATAAATACACTTAAAAAGTATAATTTTTGTGATTTTTTTTTAAAAAATTCACTAAATATCAAAAATACAAAAAAAAAAAACAAAAACAAAAATTCACTATATTTTTCGTATTTTGTGTATTTATTAATTTTTTAGAATATTTTTTCACAAATATTTTATTTTTTGTGTAGGGACTTTAGACATCAAAAAATAATTTTGTGGATCTCTTCCATTATGAAAAGTGGGAGAGGGACCCTAGACCAATTTTCCCTTTATTTTTTAGATACATCTAAGTAAGGTGGATTTGAAAAAGAAAAAAAAATGCTTAAAATTTAAAAAATATTCACTAAAAAGAAAAAAATATGAAAAATAAAAACTCAGTTTTCAAAAAACTAAATTCAAAAAATTGAAACTAAATATACTGAATATTTTTTTTTACAAAAAATTATATTCAATATTAGTTTTGTTTGATAGATCTTATTGTGTAAATTTTAAAAATATAAATCTTATTTAAAATGAATGTTTATAATAAAAATTATGAAATTCTAAAATTTTGAAATAACAAAAAATAAAATAAGTGGCACATTAACATCTTGAAATGGGTCCACTTCAGTTAAAGAGAAATTAGTGTTTCTACGACATGGCCAGATGGTGGTTCAAGAGAGGAGGTGGAGCCTATAATTTTGTATTGAGACATGAGAATATGATATTTTGTAATTAATAGATGATTTTGTCATACAATACACTCGAAACACTTAGCCTTGGGAAGATGGATTGGGATGAGTTTGGGATTATTTTAGTCACAAAAAGAATAAATAGGTTTTTTAATTCAATAAGACAAAACATCACAGCCAACTCATAATCATTACATTTTTTCTCTTACAAAAAGTCAAAAAGTCCTTCCCAAACGAGACTACTTTTTGGCTAAAATAGCCAAAAAGTTAAAAAGCCAAAAAGCCAATCTACTTCCCAAACGAACCCTTAATAATTTTTCAGCAATGATTCATACCACTGAAAAAAAGACCACTAATAGCACTAATGTATTGGGAATGCCAAAAAAAAAAAAAAAACAAGCTATAGGCACCACATCATTAGTGGTGCCATTAGAGCACCACTTTCAGTGCTCTCAACCATTTTTCATAATTTTTTTTTTTGTAACTATACGCGCATATTTGCATGTGTGGATATTATGAAAATGGCTGGGCTTCCCTTCAGTCCATGTTCGGATTTGAGGATATTGTTAGACCCGTGAAAACTCATCACGGTCTCGTTTTGATAATCCGAACTGTTCAATGTGTAAAATTCGATGAGTACTATATGCTTATACAAAATCACGTTGATCGGATAGTGATAGTTATCTTATCGGATCAGATTTTTATCAATCATTTATTTTTTCATCGTCTATTTTTTTATACAAAACTAATTTAATCACGTAGCTGTCGATATCCGATCAATGTGATATTTTACGGACATATAGTACTCGATAAGTTCTACACATTAACGATTCGAATTATTGAAACGAGACCCGTAATGAGTCTCCACGGATCTAACAATACCCTTCGATCCGACCAAATAAGGGAAGAAAGCCCAGCCCTATGAAAAAAATAAACTAGCAGCACTTAATGGCATAAAGTCTGTTGGGGAGGAACTAGCCTTAAACAATTTTGTACAGCATAAATTACGTTTCACTCTTTTTATATTTGGTCATCGATCTATTTGGCTTTTAAAGTTTAATTTTTTTTCTTTTTAATTTTTCATATTTTAGGTTTTTTTCATTTTACTGCTAAAGTTAATCTATGTTTAAAATTAAACAAAAAATACCACAATAATTGTCACATAACATAAAAAATATATTATTATATCAGATTTTAAGTTTATGTCAGAGGTGCGAATAATAATTTTTTTTTTTGCCACGTGATTGTCAATATATTATTTTCTGTTTAATTTTAAACAAAAATTAACTTTAAGAGTAAAATAAAAAAAAAAAACTTAAAATATGAAAGGTCAAAATAAAAAAGATTAATGCTTGAGGCCTCGAATTTGCCTCAAATTTGAATTTTTTTTTTCCTCCTAAAACTGTGTTAGTTTGGTTTTATTTATTTTTTATTTTTATTTTTCCTATCTTTTCTTTTCTTTTCTTTTTGCAAGGGTAGTTATGTATAGGGGTGTGTTAAAAAATTATACATTCTACAAGTGAGTTGGGTTAGACTGATTGGGTGATAAAATTGATTGATCAATTTTTTTTAAATTTAATTTAATTTAATTTGTTAGGCTGTGTTGGTTTGGTTTTATTTATTTATTTTTATTTTTTAAAGGTGGTTATGTGTAGGGGTGTGCCATCTGTATCTGGCAAAGCAGTCCATGTTTGGCACTACTTTTTCAAAAATCTGTTTCTCAAAACGATTTGCCAGATTTGGACTCTTTGGTTCAGATTAAGAACCGTGACACAAATCGAGTCCGAACTGTAGCATGAGGCCCACGCGGGCGCGGTTACAGTTATGTGTAGGGGTGTGCCAAAAAACTAGACATCACATACTAACTCATCGTACAAAATTATATAGAATTAACGAATTTTAACCAATAGTCTAACTGATCAATCAATTAAGTTGGACTGGTTAAGTGATAAAATTGACTGATCACTTGAGTTGTTAGTTAAATTTTGTTAATTTCATATAATTTTGTACGATAATTTGGTGCGAGATGTCTAATTTTTTGGCACACCCTTACACATAACCACATTTATATTAGACATTTTAACTCACCCTTAAAAAAAAAAAACCAAAACAAAACAAAATAAAAATAACTAACTAACACAGGAGAAAAAAAAAAAAAAGGTGGCATTCGAGCCAAATTGGAGGCCTCGAATTTGAGGCCTCTAGCACTGCTCAATAAAAAAAAAAAAATAAAAAAAATAAAAAAAAAAAAACTTTAAATGCCAAAGTAAAAAAGTGATTTTACATAAAAAGAGCAAAGTGTAATTTATTTTTTTATAAAATATATATTTTAGTCAAAAAAATCATTAAAAATATCAAAAATCATATAAAAAAATCAAATATTCATTTCTCTTCTCTTTACACATTTATTATTATTATTATCAATTACTTTTTAACTACACAGTAAAACAATCAATTCTAAATATTTCAATTTATTTTAGGGAAAATCGGTCTAGGGTCCCTCTCCCACTTTTCGTAATGAAATGCCTCATTATATTTTTGGACAAACCAAATCTGACATCTCTTTTAAATGAGGCCACATTATACTTTTGGACAAATCAAATTTGGCAGTTCTGTCAAAATGGGTCCTCAAGTATGAATATTATTACTTTAACCAAATTTGTAATTCTTTATTAGTAAAGCAACTGACATTTAATTTAATAAATTATAAATTATAATTTTAATCAAAAACTGTTAATTTGTTAATCTGTTTAGTGTAGTTGTTAGATTATAGATTTAAATTACAAAGTAGTGTTTGTTAAATAAACTGTGAAATAACTTTTTGAATTAACTTTTATTTTTTATTATTTACTGCTTGTCTATATTTCTCATATAATAATAATAATAATAATAATAATAATAATAAAAATCTAAGAGTATAACTTGAAATTAACATGTTCATAGCAGAAGCTGATAATAAGAAATAAGGGATGATCACTTCTCAAAATAAACTTTTATGAGTTAAAATAAATTACTAGAATCAGAAACTGTTTGAAATAAATTTATCCAAACAATCGAAAATAACTTTTCCAAAATTAAAATCTATAAATCAACCAAAATAAACATCACCAAACACTCCTGTATATAGTTATAGATCCCAAATGTATCATCCTCCAGCCAAGATAGATAAAGCTAATTTATTTTCTCATCTAAAAATGGCTTCATCTCAAGTTGGTGATATGGTGAATGGCAACGCCGAGCGTACTCGCCACTTGGCCAAATTTCCCCCTAGTTTATGGGGTGATAGGTTCACTTCATTCACTTTAGATAAACAGGTAATTATTACATCTCCATTGCAAAATACTGCAAATTCACTCTTATCAATTTTATACCCTCATCAATTCAGAAATTGAGTTCAGATCTTCTACCATAGTTTTCTGCAGTGTTTTATGTGTTAATTTTAAAGCGACGCCGTTTTGTTAAGGTTTTTTATTTTTTCCTTTTTCTTTTGCTTTCTATCTCATTTGTTCCATAACCCTAGCCAGTCTGAGAGAGAGAGAGAGAGACGAACAGAGAAGGGCGGAGGCGAAACGCGAAAGAGGGTGGCCGACGGTGATTCCGGTGGCGAGGCGAGGGAAGGCGGCGACGAGTTCATTCTCAAGATTGGTTCTCAAAAGTCGACCAACGGGAAAACCCAGAACCTGTTTGGTTGCCGTGAAACCCAGGAACAAAGATCACTTATTATTGAGTCTTTTACTGTTTTTGTTTTGTAATTAAATGAATATGGACAAGAAAATAAGAAACTCTTGGAAAGAAAAAAGAGAAAAAGAGAGGATTTTTGCTGATAAAACAAAAAGATTTGAGTGTGAAATAGTTGGAGGGAGAGAGAGAGAGAGAGAGATGGGTAGACCACCTTGCTGTGATAAAGGGCCATGGACTCCAGAAGAGGACATCATCTTGGTGTCTTTACATACAGGAAAATGGACCTGGGAAATTTCTCAAAGTTTTTTCACAGTTGGTTGGTTTGATCATTAAAGAGGTATGTTCAACATCTTTTCCAGGTCAAGCTCGCCCCCGTCGCCTCCTCGCCGCTGCCGTTGCCTTGCCGTCGCCCTTTGTCTCTCTGTTTGTTTAGGGTAGGGCTGAGCAAGGAATCCGTGAAATTCGTAATCCGATCCAGTCCAGTCCAATTCGATAGATTTGGATTGATTTTTTGAATCCGCGGTTCGGCTCCGGATTGAAGAATTAAAAATCCGTAGTCCACGGATTGGTTCTGGATTGAACCCCACGGTTCCGGATTGGAACCGATCCGGACCGTTCCGGACCGTATATAAATAGTCTATATTTTTATTATACATTATCCCCCATAGTATCTTCTTTTATTCTATATGAAATCTAAACTCAAATATAAAATCGTATAATATCTTCTTTTATTACTTTTTGTTAGGTTTTATTCTTGGCAACACCGTTTGACAAAACTCCTTTCAGTTGTATTTATTTTCACACTTTTATTTTAGTGAGGCTATGAGTTTATTAGATGCGAATACAACCCGAATTGTGTCATTCAGAGAAGTTTGTGATGTTAATACTTTCAAGATTGCCACTTCACGACCGAAACAAAATGCAAAATTGCATTCAAAATTGCATGTCCGCCCATGTTCGCTCGAGTCAAGGAATGCTCGCTCGAGCAAAATTCGCTCGAGCCAAGGAATTCTCGCTCGAGCTAAGGATTGCGTCCATACAAAAACCTGAAAGAGTTGATTGCTCGCTCGAGCTAAGGATTCGTTGCTCGAGCCAAGGCACTAGTAGAAATCACGAAAGCTAAGGTTCTCGCTCGAGCGAGATTCAAAATCCGGATTTCTATAGGAGTTGGTTTTCTTCCAAATTTAGGATTACTTTTGGTTTTCTACAAATGCTTGGTTTTCTTCCAAAGCTAAAGGGTACTTCTCCATATCTTCTTTTTTGATCTTAAGGTTTATGTCTGGAGATATTTTGTTAGGTTTTCTTTGATGTTTTTATTGAGTATTCAAATCATGGTTTAAAATAGAGTACATCAAAGGTTTTGTTTGTTATACAAAAGAGAGAATTATTCTTCGGTGGATTCTGAAGAATTCGAGCTTGAAACTTCGGTGGATTCTGGAGTGGCTCATTGAAAAGACAATTCTGAGGTGAAGACGGGGTTGGAAGAGGCACATAGAGGTTGGTTCAATTAGGCGTGGATTTGTTAGGTAATTGAGAGTATACCTGTGTAATTTCTTTAAATCTTTTTAGTGGATTGTTTTTATGGTTGTTGCCCGTGATTTTTTAATCACAGTTGGAGGTGTCAAATTGTGATTTTTTCACGTAAAATCGTTGTATTGATTTATCTTTTATTGTTTGATTGGAATTGTTTTATTGCTTAAAATTGATACATAATCACAAATTAACATCTGGAGGATTTCTAGATTTTTCACTTTTGTTTGTTAGTTTTTAGTTTTAATTTGTAATAGTCTAAATACTTATGGTGAAACCAATTTTCTTATGGTTTTTTAAATTCTAGAACAGTATGTCGCTATTATAGAAAAACATGTTGCTATTGTGGAACTAATACAGTGCTATGTTTATGTTTTATGAAATTAAAGTGTTATATACATATATATATATATATATATTTGTTATTTAATTATGTGAATCCGTGGTCCTAAACTGATCTAATCCGTATTTAAATGGATTGGTTCGGATTGGTTCCATGATTTAAACGGATTGGATTGGTTCCAATTTTTCAAGAACCGTAAATAACGGATTGGTTTTGATTTTACCTCAATCCGATCCAATCCGAACCATACTCACCCCTAGTTTGGGGTTGTGGTCTCTCTGGAAAGGGCCAAAAATATATATAGTATATATGTTCAACACCACGTGGTTTTGAAAATACCGTAGGAATTACCATATACTGCCACGATAGAGTATCCGAACGAAGTTGTTCAAAAATTAATCTTTACTTTATCATATATAGATCTCATATGAACTCAAATTATATAAATTAATTTTTAGCACATAATCATCGAATCTAAAATTTTCTGAATGAATAAGAGTGGATCTCTACACTTTTCTTAATTCGTGTCGCTGCATGTTTCTGAGTATCTAGAATTTTTTTCTTTAAAAATAAATAAAAATTTGAAAGAAATAATATTATGTAAACAAATATATCCTTATATGGAAAATTCGATTTCTATACTATATGCGGCAGATATAACATTATTTTTTAATATTTAATTATGACTTATTGTAGTGTTAGTTATGAGTTAATTACGATTCATTGTAGCATTAGATATGACTTATTATGATTATTATTGATAATATACATGTATTATTGATTGATTGTTAAGTGTTGTGTATTACATAAGGAGAAACTTACTCTTCTTTATAGAAGAGTGTACAGAGGTTGGACCGAAAGCAAAGACATCATGATCAGCTAGGACACACTTTACAGCTAATAACAACATAGAATACACTAACAATATAATGCACTAACATATTTTAACAGCCCCCCGCAAACTCAAGGAGGATAGAAACTAACCAACTTGAGTTTGGAGAGAGGAACTAAACAGAAAAATAAGCTGACAAATAAAATTAAAAATGGGATAGGAGACACTGTATGGTCGTGTCGGACCGTTGTAGCAGACAGTTTACGGGGTCATGTCGGACCGATGTAGAAGACAGTTTATGGGGTCATGGTGGACCGATGTAGAAGCTGACCGGAATCAATGTCGGAACAGTTTATGGGGTCATGTCGGACTGATGTAGAAGCTGACCGGAATCAATGTCGGGACAGTTTATGGGGTCATGTCGGACCGTTGTAAAAGACAGTTTACGGGGTCATGTTGGACCGATGTAGCAGGACAGTTTACGAGGTCATGTCGGACCGATGTAGCAGGACACTGTGTGGTCGTGTCAGACCGATGTAGAAGACAGTTGTGATGCGTATCATCAATGAACCTACTGCCGCTGCCAGGCGTCCATACACGATTGCTTGAACACTGGCCATTAGTTTCGCTATCTCTCGACCTGAGAAGCCTTCTGTCTTCTTGGCAGCCTCTCGGATCAGATTATCGAAGAAATCTTCGATTGTTATCAGACATATTCACCCCCACATGTATTGACTTTGCCCAACTCCAGTATGGCGTCCCGGAAGTCCATCATCCACCGAACCTCATTTTAGAGAGAGAATCTAGAGAGAGAGAGCGCCATAGTTGCATTGCAGATCTGTTGAACAGACATGGAGGCTGCCTACTTCAATGATTCTCAACGTCAGGCAACAAAGGATGATGGTGTTATTGCTGGACTCAATGTGATGCGTATCATCAATGAACCTACTGCCGCTGCCAGGCGTCCATACACGATTGCTTGAACACTGGCCATTAGTTTCGCTATCTCTCGACCTGAGAAGCCTTCTGTCTTCTTGGCAGCCTCTCGGATCAGATTATCGAAGAAATCTTCGATTGTTATCAGACATATTCACCCCCACATGTATTGACTTTGCCCAACTCCAGTATGGCGTCCCGGAAGTCCATCATCCACCGAACCTCATTTTAGAGAGAGAATCTAGAGAGAGAGAGCGCCATAGTTGCATTGCAGATCTGTTGAACAGACATGGAGGCTGCCTACTTCAATGATTCTCAACGTCAGGCAACAAAGGATGATGGTGTTATTGCTGGACTCAATGTGATGCGTATCATCAATGAACCTACTGCCGCTGCCAGGCGTCCATACACGATTGCTTGAACACTGGCCATTAGTTTCGCTATCTCTCGACCTGAGAAGCCTTCTGTCTTCTTGGCAGCCTCTCGGATCAGATCATCGAAGAAATCTTCTATTGTTATCAGACATATTCTCCCCCACATGTATCGACTCTGTCCAACTCCAGTATGGCGTCCCATAAGTCCATCATCCACCGAACCTCATTCTTCGAATCTACGAATCTCTCACTCCTCCACCACTATAAACGAGATTGAAAAACATTTTAGAGACAAACCGAGAACAAGACAGAGTCTCTATATACAAACCCATGCCAATTTTAGACCCTTGGCCTCATTTTTAGCAAACTCATTTCCTATAAACAAGAAAGGGACAAATTGAGAGTGTGAATCTGAGGAGTTCTTACTTTAAAAACCCTGAAAGCTCTGAAAATTGAAAGCACTTTGCGTATACACTGACTTTTCCATCTCTTTGCGAATTTCTCTGGGTTTGGGAAATTTATTTGGTTTAAGTGAATTTCTTTGGGTTTGGAGAAGAGAAATTTCTCTGGAGAGAAGGGAAGGCCAGAGAAATTTTCTCTAGATGGCCAGAGAAAATCACAGAGATGAGTATGTGATTTAGTCAGAGAAATTTGAAAATTTCTCTGTGAAGTCACCAGAGAAATTCTCTGTGAACCAGAATTCTCTATGAAGTTCACAGAGAATTCTCTGTGAAATTTGATATTTGATTCTACAGAATTCAGGTTGTAGAGTTGGTAATAATTGTTGATTTTGCTAAATTCGACTTCACAGAGAAAATTGGTGCAGGGACTTACCTTCCCTAGACTTTCCATTGCAAATTTCTCTGGTCTTCCCTTCTCTCCAGAGAAATTTTTTTCTCTGGCCTTCTGTATATTTCCCACTCTCCATTAGAATTAGGTAAGGATAGATATACCCTGAAAAATTTGTAGATAAGTACAACAAAAATTTATTGAATTCATTCAAAGAAAATGATAGGAATTTCCCAAACAAATTGTAGAAATTCTGAATCAATATCAACAATATAGCATATTCAAACAAGATGAAACACATTACAATTTCTCTAGAGAGAAGGGAAATTTCTCTGGAGAGAATGGAAGGCCAGAGAAATTTACAGTGGGAATTCTAGGGAATGTTAGAGAAATTGGAAAGTACAGAGAAATTCTTCCCAGAATTTCTCTGGACCAATTTTCTCTTTGAAGTTGAATTTTCTCTGGAAGTCTAGGGAATGACTTCTTCTCTTTCTTATCTATGCTAAGGTATGGCAAAATCTTACTGTCAACCACCTCATCTTGTTGAACTTGATCTACAAAGAGCACTAGGATTAGCAAACAGAATTTTGATAGTAACCCTTCATGAAAAGATATTTGTAAGAGAACATATAAAATGCACGATGATGCAGAGTTTCCTGGATTGTGTGAATTTTCTCTGAACTATCTGAATTTTCTCTGGATGTCTAAATTTTCTCTGGACTATCTGAATTTTCTCTGGATAAAGAGAATTTCTCTGGATGTCTGGAGAGAATTTCTCTGGAGCGGACACCACAGGAGGTGCCGCCGCCGTGGGACTGGTGGTCAGATCGATTGGAATCGGATCGGGTCATGGGTTGTACGACCGAGGTGTGGTTGGAAGTAATGAGATTCAGAGCCGACAGCGATTCGGAGATCACGAAGGGGTTCTGTTCGTGCTTGATTTGAAGTAGGAGGAGAAGCTGTAGGAGTAGGAGGTATGTGTAAGTGATATGTGTTGAAAAACTCCCGCGGGCAGCGAAGGCAAGGTTGCCGGCCGGCTGCCCGCCGGAAAGAAAGGAGTATAGGCCTAAATCTTATGGCTCTGATACCATGATAATATACATGTATTATTGATTGATTGTTAAGTGTTGTGTATTACATAAGGAGAAACTTACTCTTCTTTATAGAAGAGTGTACAGAGGTTGGACCGAAAGCAAAGACATCATGATCAGCTAGGACACACTTTACAGCTAATAACAACATAGAATACACTAACAATATAATGCACTAACATATTTTAACAATTATTTTGATTATGATTAAAAAGATTTTTGGTTATACCTTATGTGATGTTTATATATATCTACTTTATTACATTATAGGTTAAAATTCTATACACTTTTTCTTGATAAATAAATTTCTCTTAGATTGTAATTGATTTATAGATTTGGTGAGAGATTTGAAAATTGAAAAAAAAAATGAGTGAAATATAAATAAAATATAATAACATTTCACACACCATTTATACATTTTTTCTCTTTCCTTGTCCAAATTCCTATCCAATTCTTTGAACTAAACACAACATTAACAAAATTTTATTGTGAAGTTGTTGTAATTAATGAATGTGGTGGGTTGTTGGGGGCAGCTATGGGACAAGTATGGTAATGAGATTGAAGTATTGAAAGAACAAGTGAGGAGCATGGTAGTAGCCGGTGGACGTAAAGCAGCAGAACAAATGAATTTGATCAACGTGCTCGAACGCCTTGGTGTGTCGTATCACTTCGAGAAAGAGATTGAAGAGCAGTTGGAGCAATTGTTTGCTAAGTTTGAAGACAATGAGGACTATGATTTGTTCAACATTGCACTACACTTTCGCATATTCAGACAACATGGCTATAAAATGTCATGTGGTAATTTACATCCTCACCATATATCCAAAACTGACACCTCATTTTTATTTTTATTTTATTTATTTATTATTTATTTTAAACATAAATTGTTCATTTATTATAGGGCAATCTTCATTCCATTAGCAGTCACATTTATTTATACTATATATTATAACAAAATAATATTTCAATAAGAAGAGCTCCAACACTATATATTAATTTTTTTACATTTAAATTTTTTTTAAAAAAAACTATTGGCTAACCCATTACTTTGGTATATGCTTGCATTGATAGGTTGATTTGGCATCATCCCTCATGTTTTTTTTCAGAGTCTAATGTGCTTGCCATTTGTCCATAATAGTCTCTTTTAAATGTGTTTACAAGTTGCTTCTTTGTGCTTAAGTGTTGGACCATGTGTGCATGCATGTTTGTATGAACATTCGCCCTCATTTCCATAGCATTTGGCCACTGTTTCGGGCTTATTTGAGAGCTGCCCAAATTAGTCTAAGTCCACCTTTTGCATGTTGCTCAAATGTTGTTACATTGCTTCATGCCTTGCATGCATGTTCACTTAGGTTGTGTGCCTAATGTACATTACTTGCTTGCATGCTCATATTGCATATTTAGCTCACATGCTTAGGTTGCATTTGGCATGCATGCCTTGCCTCTTGAATCACCATGATTGAGGTTGGGTTCCTTATGTGTTTGTGTGCATTATATTTGACATTAAAATGCCCAACTTGGCTTCTTGGGCCATCACGCATTGAAATGCACGATTGGTGATCCGAGAGTCGAGCACCATACTCCCTTGAGTCTTAAACATGATATAGAGTATGGTTGTGCAAACATTTGCTTTGAAATGCATTGTCATGCCTTGTCTGTCCTTTGCTGTTGTCAAAACAAGTTTTTGCAGGAAGGTATGACCGGTCGGCCATCTACAGTGCCGATCGACCAAACATTTGTGGCCGATTTCAATATCCATGGTCGATGGATGGCCGGTGGGCTTTACTTTTGGCTGGTGACCTTCCACAGTGCTCAGAAGGTGGTTCTGGAGCATCCTTGGGATTTGTGCAAGTCTCAGAGGTGTAGAGTAGTGTAAACAGATGCAACATGTGTCATGGCAATGGATTTCCGGGCAAAGCCAATCCGAGCATGCATGCATCCCTTTTCCCGAGGCCTTTTACTGCTTTCCATAGCTTAGTTAATTTGTTTAATTAATTAGAAGTTTTGTAATATTTAATTAGTTAGAATAGTTTAATTGTTTATTCGGACTGTATTATTTATTTGGACCCTCCGAGCGAGGGCAATCGTGTAATAAGTGTGCGTGGGTGTATGTATGTCTTCCAATCCCAGGTCTTTCTCCCTTTTATTTATTCTCTTTCAGTGGTTAGATTAGGGCATGTTTAAATTAGCATCCTTATGCTCGCATGTTTTGCATCCATACATTTGTCTTGCATGCACCGGGCTCGGCGCATCATACTAACTGCATTGTATTTCAATTTCAAGTTGAATACGTGTTAGCTGTAGCATCATCATATGCCATCCATAGATTAGCCGAGCCTATTGTAGCTGTATCTTGCGTGTGTTGCATTAGCCATCTTAACATGAACTAGGATCATGCATATGATTACTAACTAGTTTCTATTTTGGCTTGGAGTACTCGGTAAGCATTTATGTTTTAGCATCCTTGCATGAGTGTGAGTATTGCCATGATAGCATGCTTACCATGAGGCTATATGCTTATGTGATATATCTGCCTGAATGCTTGTGGGTGAAGGTTGGGTTATCTGAATTGGAATAATGCATTGACTATGAGTTTTAAGCCCCTGAATGCCTGTGGGTGGAGGTTGGGTTACTTGGATTGGAATAATTCATCAAATGTGTGTTTTAAGCCCACTAGACAGTGGCAAAATCATATTTTCTAAGCCCACTTGAGGGTGGCAAAACTTGCATTTTAGCCTACTTGCGAGTAGCAAACCGTTTTCAAAACAAACATGAAATGCTTTGTTCCAATTCAGGCGACCCAGTCTATACTTGTGCTGTGCGCATCATATAGGAAATCTAGGCTAATAACCGGAATAAGAACGCATAATGTTTTCAAAACTAGATATCATGGTTAGTAGAGGCCGATCTTTGATTGGGCGAGCGGGGGTGCTCATAGCTGACTAGGGGTGTGCATAATACCGCTGAAACCGTTGAAACTGCCAAAACTACACCGAACCGCACCGCCAAGGTGTAGACACCCCATTTTTGACCGTCCTCAAGACTTGGACGTCACCGTTTGAACACCCGGTGATTATCCATGTTTGTGTTCGTTTGGAGTTCCCGGAGGTCTCGGCTCGCGTGCCGTGCCTCAAGATCTCCGAACTCGACCGTTTAGTGTCTGGTTTTGCACCAAACACTTGTATCCTGCCTTGGAAGGGCAGGGTGGGGCTTGTAGACCATCCCCACCCATCACCGGCAGTGGCTAGATGCCACCGGCTGGTTTTTGCTGCCACCGGCAATATAGTTTGCCGGCCGGCACTCTTTGTTGCCGGTCAGCACTATTTTGAATTCTTTTTTACTTAAGTTTGCTTGTTGTTCTATACCTTAGAATATAGTATTACATTACTGCTCGAGGAAAATTCAAGATGTCAGTAATCCAAAATAAAGTTGGATTCCAATTCACTTTTCAATCTTTTTTTTTTTTTCTGGCCATGTTGCAAACTTGCATCAGCTCACTTTTCAATCTAAATACTTTTCAACAGTAAACATTTTCAATATATTGTAAACCCTGAATGATATTAATTTTATGTATTGTATTTGATCATTGTAGCTTCCACAGATGCTTGTAATGAACTGATGGCATAGTCGTTGATATTATCATGTTGTTGATACACTTGCTGCATCAGAAGAAAGCTTCGCAAGATGCTTAACATCACGGTATCTCTCGTTTTTTTTTACTCTTTGATTTAAGTTTTGTAATTTGAATTATATTTTTTTATAAACCGCCAATCTGCCCGAACCGCCAAGGCAAATCCGCCATTATTTGCCAACCGAACAGCTGATTTTTGATAAGGAAAATGGCAAATTCTAGTGACACTTTTATCAATCCACCACCCGCCATACGGTTTCTATTTTTCTCTCAAACCACACCGACCCGCACCGCGCACACCCCTATAGCTGACCTTCCCCAATCGTACCCAAGTTCCCGAGCCGAGACAACTTTGGTGATGACGAACACGTGGCCTTAGGCAACGAGTCAGGGTTTCCTAAATTTCCCCAAAATAAATATTTAGGTGGCGACTCTATATCTGGCAAAGCAGTCCATGTTTGGCACTTCTTTACAAAAATCTGTTTTCCAAAACGATTTGCCGAATTTGGACTCTTTGGTGATTTATTAATCTCACATTGCACATTGTGAGATCAGATTAAGAACCGTGACAATTTGAGAGTCCTGAACTGTAGTGAGCCCAATTGAACAGAACGAGGGTTCCCCCTCCCGGGACGTTCGGGGACGTCTACAGTGCCCACGGGTGGACGAACCGCCGCCGGAATCTTCTCTTTCTGTTGCAGGTTAGCCAGGTGCCATCTATTCTGCGGGTGCTCTCCAGCCGGTTACTAAGCGGGCAGTGTGGTCAGAAAATCACTCACACAATTTGGCGCCGTCTGTGGAAAAGAAAGAAGAATAGATGGCCAATGAAAGAAAGAAGAATAGATGGCCAATGACGGACAGAAGGATCAGATTGGAGACAACGCTTCTGCTGAGAGTGGGAGACCTATCAACCTCGACGTTGAAGGGGACGATCGCCGGGCAGTGTGGTCAGAAAATCACTCACACAATTTGGCGCCGTCTGTGGAAAAGAAAGAAGAATAGATGGCCAATGAAAGAAAGAAGAATAGATGGCCAATGACGGACAGAAGGATCAGATTGGAGACAACGCTTCTGTTGAGAGTGGGAGACCTATCAACCTCGACGTTGAAGGGGACGATCGTAACACAGAAACTCGTGACCAGAGTCACGGAGTGAAAGACGCCGGCCAGAAAGGTGACGCACCAAAGACAACAGATCGAAGCGGATACTACAACGAAGATGACCTCCGGGTATGGAAGGATAGATACCTGTGAAGGAACGAAGACCCTTCGAGAAGGGATGCAAAGACAGGGGGCATAAGCGCTCCCAAGGAGATAACATTCAAGTATAGAAGAACTTATCCTGAGTGAGCAGATCCCGGATTCCAGATCCTAGAAGACATAATCTCGGCCTAGATGAGTAGGTCCGAGAAGAGAAGAGCTCAACCTGAGTGAGCAGATCCAAGATTCTAGCAGACAAGATCTCGACACTTAAGTCCGAGAAGAGAAGAGCTCAGTGGGCAGATCTCAGATCCCAGAAGAAAAAAAAAAAAACACAAGGTTGGACTGTAGTTAGCCAGGTTGAAGACCTTTTATAAGGTTCGCAAAGGAGTATGTGGAAGCCATGCAGGGGGCAGAGAGAAGAAGAATATGTTTACCACTTGTTGAAATTTGTAGCAATTTACAAGTTGGTTAAACCGATATGATGTTTAACACTTGTTGAAATTTGTAACAATTTACAAGTTGGTTAAACCAATATGATATTTACCACTTGTTGAAATTCTGTGTGAATTTACAAGTTGAAGTTAAACCGATGTGATATTTAACACATATTGAAATTCTGTATGAATTTATAAGTTGAAGTTAAACCGATGTGATATTTAACACTTGCTGAAATTCTGTGTGAATTTACAAGTTGAAGTTAAACCGATGTGATATTTAAACACTTGTTGAAATTCTGTGTGAATTTACAAGTTGAAGTTAAACCGATGTCAAATTTAACACTTGTTGAAATTCTGTGTAAATTTACAAGTTGAAGTTAAACCGATGTGATATTTAACACTTGTTGAAATTCTGTGTGAATTTACAAGTTGAAGTTAAACCGAGGTCGTATCGAAAGAAGATTGGTTTAAACACTTGTTGAAATTCTATGTGAATTTACAAGTTATAGTTAAACCGAGGTCGTATCGAAAGAAAGATGGTTTAACACTTGTTGAAATTTTGAGAAAAATTTACAAGCTGAAGTTAAGCCGATGTTATGATAAAGGATGATGGTTAAAACACTTGTTTAAATTTTTGAGAAAAATTTACAAGTTAAAAGCAATATCTGCGTACTTGCCGAGACTACCAGGTTGTCAAAACTTGAAATATGGAAAACTGAAGTCTTGATAGAAGACATTGAGAAAGTGACAAGTCCTAAGCAACACTTGTGAAAATATTTGTTACAATATTTTCAAGTGCTAGGACAAGGCCGAGATGAGCAAGATTAGAAGTTGTGACAGAGGTATTTTACCCGAAGAGATTGCACAGTCAAGGTGTACTTTGAAGACATGCAAATTATTCTAAGTATGGAATCATACAAGAGCAGAAAAAAGAAGACATTCATTCAAAGAAGAAATTAGAGAAATGCATTTAAAGAAGAAAGAAGGCACTTCGGCCTGAATATTGAAAAATAAATTATTCAGACTACAAAAATAGCACGTCGGCCGGATTAAAAGCATACAGAGAAGGACAAAGTACAAGGTACAAGGTACAAGGAGTAAAAGAAGGAAACAAAACTACTCGGCATCAATGACAGGATATTGGGAAGACTTCTCAGCAGCCTTCTCCGCCTCGAGCTCAGCATCGATCTCCCAAAAGAGTTTGATCAAAGCTCTTTTAGGCGATTGGCACCTCGGAGTTTGAAGGCAAGGATTGAAAGCAAGAATCTGGAAAAAGACACAGAAAACAGAAACAAGAATGTAATTCGTAATCAAGAATGATTGCATAAGTGTGTCAAGCCAAAAACAGTGGCAGAAATCAACAGATGTGTAAATAGTGTGTATTCAAGAAGATGATTTGAAAACAACGGGTAAAACCGTAATGGTGATTAACAATGAAGCAGAGTTTCTTGGAAAGCAACAAGAAATAAAACCAGGAGGAACAGTGGCTTACCAGAAAAAGGAAGCCGGAATGAGAATTGCCGAAGTCTGACGACAATGACAGGATGACGTAAGCTTCACCGGAGGAGAGGAACGAAGACAGTTGCAGAAGCTTGAAAGCTTGGAACAATGACGGATTTAAGCAAAAGAGCTAGAAAGAGAAAAAGCCAGAGGATTGAATGAAAAAAGAGAAAAATAGTCAAGAAGACGACAAAGTTCAAGAATAAAGCCAAGTGCACAGGCACTAAGTAAGTCTGTGAAGAACAAGAAAGTAATGACCCAGACACGATGCTAGCAACATAAAGAGGATATGGCAAGAACAGTGCCAGGCGTTCAAACAATTCAAAACTTGAAAACAGTCGAAAATAGAAGACAACAGAGGGCAAGTAAACGGATTCAGAAGAGTTATGAAAGATTGAGCTTAATAAAAGAGTTTATGAACCTACCAAGAGAAATGAACGCTGATATGAAGATCGCTGGAGTCAAATAGATGACTGGAAGTCGGGAACCTGCCGAAGAATGTGAGTGGAACAGTTGCAAAGCTCTTGGAGTTTACGAATTAATGAAACAAGAACCTCGGCTAGGAGGTGTGATCTCGAGCAGCTTGGAAAGCATGAAGCTTGATACTTGACAGAAGTGGACAGTAAAGTCCAAGGAACTTTGAGGTCGACGAGTTTGATCTCGGACAGAGGGGCACAGATGAGCACGAACAATGTAGGTTCCATCACCTCAGAATGTCGAGGTAATAGAACCTAGGGGGCAGTTGTGGGGATATATTTTCTGAGTACCAACACGTGGCCAAGGTGACGCCGACGTATCAGCCGAGGTGCCACGTGTCCTGGTTGTTATGCCGAGGTCATCTCGGATAGCCCGAGGTTACCTCCGAAGATATCGGAATCCGAGATAAGCAGATGAGGGGCAAGTGTCCTAGAATGAGAGAAGACTTTAGTTTGTATTAAGATAAGACTCTTAGAGAGTTTATCCTAATCTTACTAGGAGTCCAAGATTAGCAGTAATCCTGAGTCCATAGAAGTTAGGCTTCTATTGAGATTAGGTTTATGTTGGCTATAAAAGAGAGGCACCCCCATGGGTCTAAGGTATACTTTTGATACTCAAGCTTGTGAGTTTAGCACTTGATTTATCTTTGAGAGATATACTGACTTGATCGTCGGAGTGCCCCCGGGTGGACGAACCACCGTCGGAATCTTCTCTTTCTGTTGTAGGTCAACCAGGTGCCATCTATTCTGTCAGTGCTCTCCAGCCGGTTACTAAGCGGGCAGTGTGGTCAGAAAATCACTCACACAACAACATATACATATGTAAACTATACATATATATGCTTCTCTCGAAGGCTTTCAAACATTGTCAAAAGCCTCAAAATCATTTATGATTGAATTTTGTTTGATGGGCAAAATTCAAAATATTTTTCAAAGGGTCAAATTCATTTAGTAGTCCTTTAAAATCTTTAAAAAAATAATAATAAATAATAACTCTTATATATCAAGTTAAGTGGTCAGATTTAAAATTTAAACTCTTCTGATAGTTAAATTAATCATGACACTAGACATAACTTAGTATCTGGGATGGAATTAAGAGAAGACTATGGGGGTCATGGCCCTAATGTTTCTGTAAAGAATATTGTTTGCTACATAACTTTAAATATATATATATATATATATATATATATTATTTTATACATAAAATGACCTCCAGTATAAAAAATATGTCTCATAATTCTTTCATCTTGCATTCTCTTTTTGTTTTGCAAAAAAAAAACTTTTTCATCCTTTTAGAAATTATTTCTGTGGCATTTATTTATTTTTTCTTTGTATATATAATTATATATGTTTGAGTATATGGTGAAAAAAAAATTCTTTTGACATCTCAATTAATAAAATCTTGATTCTGTCCCTGCTTAGCATGACATGATAAATATATACATATATATAGTGTAATTTTAACCAGACTCAATAGATGTCCACTTTCTAATTACTGACATGCCATAATATGATGGCTTATGAATCAGATGTGTTCAACAAATTTAGAGACAGTAATGGTGAATTCAAGGAAACGGTGAGCAATGATGTACAGGGTATGTTAAGCTTATATGAAGCTACATATTTGAAGATCCGTGGAGAAGGTTTTCTAGATGAGGCTCATGCTTTCACAATAGCCCAACTTGAGTCTCTGGTGGGAGGGCCACATTTAAGCTCTGATCTTTCTGAACAAGTGATGCATGCCCTCAAGCAGTCAATCCACAGGGGCTTTCCAAGACTAGAGGCAAAGCATTTCATCTCTTTCTATGAAAAAGATGCTTCTAGGAATGAAACTCTATTGAGGCTTGCAAAGTTAGATTTCAATCAGTTACAGTTGTCCCATAGGGAAGAATTGTGCCACATCTTTAGGTAATATGATCATTTATATTCTTAACGAATCTCTCTTGTGAGGTTTTTTTTTTTATTTATTATTTTTATAAGTAGAACAAACATCCATAATTATTTTAGGATAGATTACAATTTGGGTTGTTTAGGACAAAAACATCCTCAACTATTAGCGAATATCACGTTATTCTTCTTTATTTATGAACTAATATATTTTAATCTTTTAAACTATAAAAGTGATATTCGCTATGGGTCATAGTGTATTTAACCCTTAAAATTTTAATCTTTATAATTTAATCTAAATTTCATTTAGGTCATTATTATATCAATTCAAATTATGTGTACTCTCGTGATTTTAAGTTTGGTTTTAATTTGATCCATCCTTTCAAAGTTAGATGTTGAAACGCATGACTTTCTAACACTTTGGCAATCAGAGAGAGTGTTTGGGATACACTACAAAAGTGTACTTTTTTTTATAATTTATCTTTTTTGAGTCACATCACATCGCTATTTTTTTAACACTTTTTATAAAAAATTAAAAAATATACTTATTTAGATAATTCTAGACACCCCCTTAATTGTAAGTTAGACACACACACACACACACACACACACACAAATAATTGAATTAAACTTAAAGTCTAGGCTTATATTAAATTAAAATTATAAGGACCAAATCGAAACTAGATCTAGGGGATCGTTTGGGAACATCAAATTTTAGTTTAAAAGTGAAAAGGTTACTAAAAAAGTTAAAAAATTAATAAATATTAAAAAGTCAAATATTCATTTTCATTCACCATACTTTTTGCATAATTTTTTGTAAAAAATTAAAAAAAATTCATCCTGAACATATATTAAACTTATTTCATCTCATATTTTAGTAAAAAAAATTTTAAAAATCTATTCTCAAACGGTCACTTAAAGTGTAAGGACAAAACTATTTAAATTGAATTATAGGGATTAAAGTGAAATTAGGATCAAACTTTAGGGTGAAAAGTTTAATTAATCTTAATTTTTAAATACATAATCCTTTGTTTTGTGATTATTATTATTATTATTGGTAAAAAACATTAAATAAATAAAATAAAATTTTTATTTGTTTATGTAGGTGGTGGAAAGAGTTGGATTTAACATCGAAAGTTCCATATGCGAGGGATAGAGCAGTGGAGTGCTTTTTTTGGTCAACATGTGCATATTATGGGTGAGCGCGGATCGGTTGCGGTCACGGAACCTTCAATCCGTCATTCGTCCGCCAGCTTAGCGGATTAGAGAAAATCAATCCGCATCTGTCCGCTAATCCGGCGGATGTGGATTGAGCGGATTGGCGGTTTGGCAGATGGATGCAAATCGGTTTGGCGGTTTAAAATTTTATAAATTTTTAACATAATTCAACTTGGGCACTTCCTCAAAAAAAAAATGATAGTATTACAGTTAATGACTTTAAAAAAATTACAATCGCTGCATGCCTCATCCAAAGCAAGAAAGTTTAAAACTTTAAAATATCACAATCACTGCAAACCTCATCCACATACTACAATCGCAGCATGCCTCATCCACATAAAGTATTACAATCTGTGGTTCTTGAAATATAAAAACAATTCAGACCACCAAAGCCATGAATAGAGCAGTAGTAGAGATTATATGTCTCTATATTGGTACATCTATATCTATTTTTGAAAACAAAAATCAACCAACATATATCATATTTTCTATTTATTATTTTTAGAGATAGATTTAAAAACCAAAAAAATATAGATAAATAATACGCTTATTTTTTTTAATTAAAAAAAGATATTCAAGTTGAAATTTTTTTTCAACAGAATATTTAAACTTTTTTATAATTGAAAATACAAACAGAATATTTAAACAAACTGAAAACACAAAATCCTATAAATTACTAGGGGTGTTTGCGGTTTGCCGGTTCGGTTGCGGCCAAAGAAATCTCAAATCCGTCATCGGTCCGCCAGATTGGCGAATTGGAAAAAATCAATCCGCAACCGTCCGCTCGTCATCACGCATCCGTCCAAAATGCAACGGATCAATTCGATTCGGTCGATTTTGACGAATCGATATATCCGCTACTCACCCCTAACGCTTATTACGAACCTCAACACTCTGTTGGACGTGCAGTGCTCACCAAAATTATGCTTTTGTTATCCGTTACCGATGATACTTATGATGCATATGGTACCTATGATGAACTCAAACTTTACACTAATGCAGTCCAAAGGTACAATTTTCTATACCAATCAATTTATTTATCTTGGGTATATAAAATAAAAAATAAAAAATCTCAGGTTTTTAATTTTATTAATTTAAATTTAATTTTTTGATTTGTTTTCAATTTAAACTATCTGGCTATGTTTGCTAAGTAAAATTAACACACACAAAAAAAAGAAGATATTTTAGTCATTAAACTCAATAAAAAAAATATTTTAGACATTTTATGTACACGTATATCGAGATTATTGACTAAAATACTATTTTTCTTTCAGTTTTACTTGACGAAAATAGGTAAATGGTTTAGACTGAAAACAATCAAAAGATTAGTATTTAAATTAATAAAATTAATAACTCAGAGTTTGTTTTGTTATAAAGGTCAAATATTGGGGGTTTTTTATTTATATATAATTATGCCTTTATCTTTTTTATTCATTATTAAATTTTTTTTTTAAATTATTCCGTTCGTGCGAGAGAGAGAGAGAGAGAGAGAGAGAGAGAGTTTTTGGTTTATATACATGGCACACTTGTAATAACTACAAATTGTGAAGGACATTTAAGTAATTGCACACCCCTCCACATAATCTCAACTGTGGAAGCTGCCTGGAGCAACTTCCGATTCTCAACTTATTTTTCTCTAAAAAAAGCCCTTAGAAGCAGAATCAGTTTTTTTCAAAATTGAAACAAACAGTCCAAAATTACTTTTTCAAACCTAAAAGCTATAAGTTGGTCCAAAAAAGCTAGGCCAAACACTCCCATTAAAGGCCAAGGTGGGAACAAAAATTGGTTTTGAGTTTTCACATATAATTTTTGACTTTTTTGTTTTTCATATTTTAGTAATTTTTTTTAATGTTTTAATCAATATTTATTTTTAACTTTTTAAACGTTTTTAATCAAGATATACCAAAAAATAAAATATTTATGAAAAGAACATAAAAATTTATTAAATACAAAAAATAATAAAATTCAATACACTTTATAATAAAATCTTCATATACTCCAACCCAGTCCCCATCCACCAAAAGTTTTGATAACATCAATCACAAAATGCATAATCTATAGCGACCCCGGTCTTTTCCCATTTGATTATTGTATTCGGATTTAGGTTCCGTAGACTCTGTCATTGTATAATTGTTGTTGTTGTCCTTTATTTTCTCATTTGGGGTTATAGGATGTGTTGGGCAGGTTTGTTTCAGGTTGGTTGGGTTTAGAAATCCAGTGTTGCTGCCCAGAATTTTGACTCTTCGCTCGAGCGAGAAGTTCTTCGCTCGAGCGAGCTCTTTGTTTTGGTCCGTCGCTTGAGCCAGGGTTTCTTCGATCGAGCGAGGATTGCGTTTTGTAGTAAGACCTGAGAGCAGAGGTTTTTGGCTCGAGCGAGCTCTTCTTCGCTCGAGCGAGTTAGTTCGTTCTTCGCTCGAGCGATAGTTCCTTCGCTCGAGCGTGTGTCTGGTTACAGACCTGAGGGTTTGAGTTCTTCGCTCGATCGAGTTTTCTTTCGCTCGAGCGAGCTTTTGGGTTGTTGGCTCGAGCAAGGCTTCCTGTCGAGGGCTTCCATTTAATCTGAATTGTTGGTAGTTTGGAGCACTTTGGAGTTTGGGCTTTCATCTCCATCTTCTCTTTTGGGGCTATTTCTTCGAGGTATGGATTTCCTACTCCATTTTATAGGTTACGTTCTAAGTTTTGGTATTTTAATATGTTGGGAATACTTTGATAAATTTTGGGAAAAACCCTAGTTGAATTATTGAATTGACTTGTATAAGTAATTCATGGAATTGGGAAAAGTTGGTTAAATTCATGGAATTGGGAAACTCATTGATTAATTGGCATAATTGGATAATTTGTATCATTTGTCTATTGAATTGATGATATAGTTCTTTTCAGTTTAGAAATAACTGTTTTGGGCTATCGGTGGAGGATAGTCGTGATTGTTGTAGACATTGCATGTGGATTAGGAATAACTGAAACTAATCACATTGGTTAAGTCATTAATTTTGATTATTGCATTGATACAGAAAATACGTGTATTGATTGAGCATTGCATTTGCATACATTGTTTTGTGTGTGGGAGGAGATGGGGGATGTACTCCACGGTTTAGGGGAAGTTAGGGGATGGACCTCTAAACCGGATTTTGTTTTGGAGGAGATAGGGGATGGACTCCATTAGCATCACTTTTATGTGTGCTTATTTATATAGAAGTGTTTTATTGATACAGCACTAAAATGTGTATCAAACTGGAAGTATGAAGTGTTTTGATTTGAGCTTGAGTCTCATTTGTTTGTTGATATTGGAGGAATGTGAATCTGATATATATAATTCATTGTGGTAAGTTTGGCCAGGTTCTGAGCCATGTTGATAAAGTTGGAAAGTAAAACGTGTCTTAGACAATAGTGTCATGAGACTGTAAAACGGAGTAATTGATTATCTTGGTTAACCATCTGTTGAATGCTATTGCTTTATTCATTGCTTATATGTGGTTTAGTATATTTCTACTGGGCTGTGGCTCACCCTAGATGGGAACATCATTTTCAGGTTCAGGTGATAAGCTACCTCCAAGGACTTAGCTTGGAAGGGACTGGGATTTTGAAGACTATCTTTAGTTAATTGTCTTTATTTATTAGTACATGTAAACATCCAAACCTAGGGCTTTTCTTGTGTTGAGTTAGAACTCATCTTTTTGTATCCAAGTGTTGGCTTGGAATGATGTAAGCCTGCAGGGCATTTTATTCGATGTTACATGTAAGGCTTTATTTAGTAATACTCTGATGAATGTATTAAGAAGTTGTCTTCTTTAAATAATGCATGTCAATGATATAAATATAATGGGTTTTTTTTTTAGGGCGTTACATTCTCCACCATTGTTGCTATTTATTTATTTTTTTACATTATAAGACAAAGGAAATAACGAAACACAAGGAAACAAAGCAAAATTGATGAAGTAAAATCTCTAGCGCGGATCAGGTTACAGATGGAGGGGCAGAAGTCCAATAATTCTGAAATTGGTGAAGTAAAATTGATTTTGGCGGAACAAAGAGATGGGAGCCAAATGATGAAGCAAGGGGTTTATCATTCTTCATCTTTCATGCCATTCTTATCTACCATCTACACCACAAAATTGCTATGTTTTCATCTTCTATGATCAGAGTTCATTAGGTATTCTTTCTCTCTTTTTCACTCTCATCAAACACACACAATACCTCTATCCTTGTCACATATTTATGATCTTCTTCTTTTAGGCATAAAACTTGATACAATCTGAAAATCTAATTTTGTAACTCATGGATTTATTAATTTTTATCTTTTAATATAAAAGTTTAGTTGTGATTTACTATTATTGTATTTATATTGTGATTTTATATAATGCCTTGCAAGTGTTTGTTTAAATGTCTCAATAAGATCTTGCATTATTTTGCTATGTTTATTTGTTTGTTTTTTATTTATTTTTTTAATCCTGTTGTAAGGATGAATAAGGAAAAAAAAATCCTTTTATTAGAGTTTGTTTTGATTTTATATTAGATATTTGCTCAATGTTTATGTGGCTGTTGATGATTTTTTTTTTTTTTTTTGTAGATGTTTTTTTTGGGTGTGTTTGGGTAATAATTTGATGATATGGGAAGATAAATTCTATTTTTCCAAGTTTGTTATGTGATCCAATGTTTGGGATACTATGCTATGCATAAAATTTACTGTCTTATGATGATTTAACTGAAACATATCAGTGGCGGAGCAAAAATTATAACTAGAGGGGCCATACTTGACAACAAAGTTCTAATTATTTCTTTCATAGCAATAGCATCGTATGTAAATTATATTAAAAGATAAATTTTTAACATAAAAAATAAAAAATATCATTAAATCCACAAATAAAATTCTCAATCAAAAAAGAGTATTTTGATTTCCAGTACAGGAAAACATTGATCAAAACTTGTACTCATCATTATATTTATTTATTTTCTCAATCAATAGGAGGCCATAGCCTGGGAATTAGTAGTCTAGCCTATAACAAAACTTAAATACTTAACCTTTTAGTCTAGCCAACTTCACGACCTCTAATTAATTAGGCTTGAACCCTTTGACTTATTATTATTTTCTTCTAATGTCTCAAAAAATAAATTATTGTATAAAATTTAGTTGTGAAGCCAGCCTTTTATTAGTTAAACAAGAAGATAGTATAAATGTAACAACACTGACCCACGATTAACGTTAATTCATGCTTAATTACACCTAATAAATAATTGAAGTGAAATGTTGCATCATATGTTGCCTTATGGGTGTATATATCTGTTTAACATAGAAAGATCTATTCATGTTTTCATTTCGGTTTGCGAATTGAAGGCCTTATCGGCATCCGATTCAGAAATTGACTTGATTTATGTGTTAATTGGAATTTTTAAAATTTTATGGTGGGTTTAATTGAAATTCGTTTCGGAATGATTAAATTAGAGTAATTAGTGCTCAATTAAGACTAATTAATGAATTCATTAAATCCAAGCCTAATTAAGGCACTAGTGGACTCTTATATGCACCCATACACTCTCATTTCATTTTTTTTGGAGCTACAAATGTGAGGAAAGGGAGAGAGACCAAAAGTGAGAGTGAGTTCAACAAGGGAGAAGGGGTAACTTGCAAGAAATTGTTGAGACTAAAGAGGATTTGAGAGTTTCAACTTCAACACTTGTGAACTCAAGTCTCTAGGTAAGAATTTTATCCTTAAGCCTTGAAATCTAGACTATAATGCATGAACACAAAAGAATTATGTTAATTGATGCAAGAATTGAGTTAGAAATGAAGAGTATTGAGCCATACTGTGCATACATGCATATTTTCTCACATTTTGAGTTTGATTTTCAAGAATTCTCTCATGCATGTCTTGAATTCACCTTTATTTTGGGAAACGATCAAGTTTCACGTTGTTTTGTAGCATTTGATCATGTTTTGAGAAGCTTAAGCTCAAAGAAATTCATGCATGTCATGTTCATGGATCATTCATAAATTTTAAGTTGAATATTTGCACAATTGACGAGTTATTTGGCCATGATTTCTTGAAAAGATCCTTAATTCATGATGAATTATGAGTTTCTAAGTGTTTCTCAAGTTTTGGCCGAAAAAAATCAAGTTTTGATGCTTAAAGTTTGAGTTTTGAGCTTTGGAAGCAAATCTGGAAATTTTAGAATTCTGCTTTCACGCTCAAGCGACCACTCTGAGTGCGTGCACTTCCGCTTAAGCGACCATAAGTCTGCTCGAGTGTGAAATACAAGCTCCTAGAAGTTCATGTGTTTTTGCAGATCGCTTGAGC